TAATGCTAGGAAAGGTGGAGGGAAATAGAAAGAGAGGAAGGCCACATTCTAGAAGGATGGACTCTATTAAGGAGGTCACAGATATGGGTTTACAGCACCTAAGCAGAGCAGTGGAGGACAGGGAGTCTTAGAAATGTCTCACCAAAAGTTGAGATCGACTCGAGGGCAGTTAACAACAAACAAGTATACTGATGTATAGGTCTAGAAACTTTAGTGAAAAAATTGACCCCATAAACCTGGGTCAACTTATCCATGGTCATTGTATTTTAACTGTTATTTTTAAAAAAAGGGACCATCCCCTGGTCAAAGGCAAGAGCATAATCTGTCATGGAAGCACTCACTCCCCTCTATTCTCTCATCCACCCAGCCTTTACCATGAGCACAAACAGTTATATCTACCGGAATTTTGTAAGTTCTTTGGCATTGTTTTCCTTTGCTTCAAGTAGATCCTTTGTTAACATGCCCCTACGTTTTCCCCATGACCTATCCACAGGTTATATCAAAATTGATAATTTTGGCCTCAAAACCTCAACTTATAAATGTTGTCAACTTATAAGATAGTATATACATGGTATATTTTGATTTTACTCAAATTCATGAGCCTCCTTGGGCCCCATATTGGAGAAGAGGCAGGATATTAATTAATTAATTATATAAAAAATAAGAAAATATAGCTGATCCTCTGTATCCACAGATTCTGTATCCATGGATTCAACCATCCAGTGTTTAAAGATGTTTTTAAAAAATCCTCCAAAAAGCAAAACTTGATTTTGCCATTTTATACAAGCTTCACAATTTTACTTTGCCATTGTATATAATGGAATTTGAGCATCCATGGATTTTATTATCCATGGGGAGGAGGCTGGATCCTGGAATCAAACACCAGCAGATACCAAGGGTCTAATATACTCTATGAAGGCACTATGTTACCTCTTCTTATTGTTATGCATGCTGTATGCCTATGTATTTTGGTTACCGTTCTTGGTTTTGGGCCAGTTCTACCAGAATGATAGCAGTTGTACTCCTGGCAGATTAGAGACAGGGCCATAGAAGGATCAATGCAACGATAGCAATCCCACTTCTACCTATGCTCACTCACTCAAAAGGTCTTATTCCTCAGGATTTAAACATGATCCAGGCAGCCCTGGCTAGCTCTAGCAATGTAATGGTGTACCTTGCTCTAATGTGCTTTTCAGTGATACAGTACAGTGCTGTTTTGTTAACCATGCTCCGTCTGTTTTCAGCATTTGTGCACTTTGTGTTTCAATGTCATATTCTGTCTATGTTTTTTTTACTTTTGTATTTTTGAAAGGCCTAGTTCTAATGTGAACAATAAATTATAACGTGAATACGTTTTTAGGCTTCATAACACTGTCAAGTGAAAAAAGGGTTATGTTTCACTTGAAGGTAATACTTTATGGTGGTGATCTGGAACAAAACCTAGAATCATAGAATCATAGAATTGGAAGAGCCCACAAGGACCATCCAGTTCAATCCCTTGCCATGTAGAAACTCACAATCAAAGCACCCCAACAGATGGCCA